ACGATTTTAACAGGACAGAGATGTAATACAGAGTCACGTTACTGCAACAATTACCCACAGCCTCCTGGGGTAGTTATTTTTATCCCCATTTCGCATATCACCCTAAAAATCTGAGCGACCAACAGACTTTCTGGCGGCAGCTTGGAAGTTTATGCAAATAAATCGATTAACCCTGCTTCCCTTTATGTGTTTTGCTTTTTATTGAAGACTGAAAAGAACAAATTACAGAATAAACGGTCAGAAAAATATGAGGCCTTATAATTGTTATGATGATCAGCAAGCATTTTAGGGTACGAGTTTGAGACCTTCTTTGTCGTGCTACCGAACTTCTAACTGCTGTTGTGAAAAACTTTACTATTACACTTGAAGTCAAGAAAAAGGCGCAGGGCAGATAGCTTCGCCAAGTATATAGCCCACACAAAAACTCAATTCGACCCCAAATCACCAATTACATTTTCATCAAATACTTTTGGTGCTGTGTTACGCAAGTCCGGAATTTACCGATCAATAATAAAACATGAAAAAAACCAGACACCCGCCCCTCATTCGTAATTATCCATTTACGTTTATTCTTTTTTGTCGTGCAACCCAGTATTGGTTACCGGTTGGCCTAAATTTTTTTTCTGATTGTGTTACGATGCAAATCAAAATATACACGTCATTCGATAGCACATAAAAAAAAAGACTAGTTTCGAGAAAAGGAGACATAATTGTACAGAGTCGTAAACAATGCAAGCCGGTACATTTGAACCGGCAACAAACATTGCGTTGGTGTAATCAAAAATCTGTATTGGTGTTATTTACTAAACAAACAACAAAAATTTTACATCATTGTGAAGCTTATTGACTGTACTTTTAGGGGAAACTAATGAAGTACTTAAACCTATCATTATTATAAAGCTGTAGTTCGATGAAGTGGCGGTAATATGTTACACATACATTTATTCGAAAATTGCAGTCAATCACAATATATGATGGTTTTTTAGTAACAACGCCAATACAATTTTTGAAAAAATGGATTTTTCATATGTTTTGCCATTGATCGGCAAATTCCGGCAAATACTTTGTGTATCATTGTCCTCAACGGGCTTAATACTACGCTGCTGTTTGTATACGCTTAACGTAAGTTGACGCAAAAGTAGCCTTTATTACAACCATTTATTCTAATAGTAAATAACCTGCTGTATGCTTAATTTCTTCTGACTTTATATTGTTATTTTCTCTTCAAGTGTTGTGTGCATAGTTCATTGGAACAAATTAAGATATGAACGAGCGCTTTTAAATCTGGACGAGACTAATGCCTTGTTTAGTGTATGAAATTAGTTCGTATTAAAACCAAATTTGTTGGGATCAACGGTTTCGTTGCGATAATTTTGTGAATGTAAAGTCAATCAGCGACAATAGGGATTGCATATTGGAGAGGTGCGTTTGCATTGGTTCTCGATTGCATAAAATCGGTGCGCATTACATACCTTCGATAAGTGTAGAGTCTTACAGTGAATGAGGAGAAGCCGAGCCACTCCGTCCTCCATTGCCCAGGTCTTGCGGTCGCCAAACAAACACGAGCTGTTATGCATCGCCGTGGTGAAAGCCTTTCACATGGTTAGTCCAGCACGGCCATGCGGGCGAACCGAGAAACGTTTCGACGAAATAAAGGAAATGTATTTGGCATTGTCCTAGCATTCTGTATATAAGTTCTCCGGACTAAATACATCAACGTACCTTCGTATATGCCGATGGCTTTGTCTCTGAATTAGTCTTTCATCATTGCATTGCTGTGTAATGTTAGTTCTTTATGATTCGTTCATCCGAGTTCTGCTTACTGTAAGCGGTCTTTATAAGAGACAATTAAGTTTGCAATAAACCGCTTGTCACAGATGCTTTATACTCAACACAATTTTTGGAATTGGTTATCTCGGGACATGGTATTGCCTGCATCGGGCATGGATCCACCAAGTCAGTTGTCATATGTGGTCCAAGGATGCTACTACATTTGAATGTTGTGATGTTTACATTTTCCGCATTGCGACAGAGTATCGTCTATGTACTGTATACTATGTGTGTCAGATATTTTTTCTTCCTGTATCTACCGCTTTTGCTGTTATCGTCACACCAGAGCTTAATCCCCTTCTAAATAGTATGCTTAAAGGCATTAATTTTCGTATTATAAGCAGGACAGATAACAGATATAATCCCACAGGTTCGTCATTGCTTGTTGTTCTCAATTGATTAAAAGTGTGCTTTGAGAGCATAGATAATCGTCATAGTTTCACAAGATAGACTTTTGCATTGTATTTAATTAAGCCATTAAACATGCAAAAACGAAAACGCGCTGCCTGAATTTCAAACCAAATTGTGTTATTCGAGAAAATGATCAAAACATATACCATCAATTATTGAACGTCCCGAGATTACCGGATTGCGCAAAATTTTAATAATAATACAATTGAATATACACAGGCCCAATATGCTTTCAGAGAGAAACGTTTGCGCGTAACAAAAAGAGGACGCATCATTCCTGCGGAGCCAAACCAGAGATCTGCATGAAAAAGGTTATCATTTTCGTGTAGATAGAAAGTTACGGTGCCTCTTTTTCGCAAGGTTGGTTTGGTCATACGAGTGGGAATGGAAATAATTTGTTAGTGATGAATCACGATCCGTGGCGTTGCTCCGACAGTCGCGCATTCTCGTGTGATGGTTGTGGGGTTGTTTTGCCCGCGAAAGAGTTGGTCCATTAATACGGGTTGAAAATAATATTATAGAAAAAGTCTATAAAAATATCCTTGAAAAACAGCTATTTCCATTTATAGAGAGTCATATCCCATCTATTAATATTAACTCACAGTATCTTTGTGAATTCGAGCTTACTCAATTTCCATTCATGATCAAAAAAAGTATGACATGACACGTGATCTCTTTAATGCTATCTCATATCCAGTTCATCTTTTCTTCGTTCGGCAAGACCACACTGAATTCATTCTCATCCACCTTTGCCAATGTTGCGTCGGCGATGGGAATTTGTGGACTGAATTAGACAAAATAAATACTATCAAACGTTAGACGAGTCACGTCGAACCAAGGCTGATTGACGTGGAAATTGAATCTAAAGTTTAAGCTTACTATGTCGTTGGTGCGGTAAGTCGCTTTTGATAAATTTATAGTACAAATGTTAGAATTATTCGCAACAAACTGATAAAAAGGGTGAGAAAAAACTATTGAAGTAGGATATAATTGTCAACGAGTGATAGCAGAAAGTAACAACTAAAAGCGCATGTTGCCTAATGTGTCTTCCGATGAGTGTCTTTGCCCCCCTACCTTCCATACTCAATATGTCCACTAGCGTCAATCATCGTTTAGCCGAAAAACACTCTACTAATCCTCCAAACCAACGAATGGTATCCATTGGTAATGAAAATATTTCTTTGAGAATACTCATTTAAATTTGAGCTAGGTCTAGATTGAGTGGATGGGAAGACAGAGTAAAGTGTTTTTTTTTTTTGTGATTGAAGCTGACTAGTGGTGAGTTAAAAAAGTAAGAGCAAGGTATGAAACAACAAGATATATTTGATATCCCTCCGTTCATTGCATAAGATTCGTATCATAGCTATTGTTTCAATATTCCCACACGCACAATTGTTTCTGTTGACATTACTGAAAGCGAATTTTTCTCGCTCGAAGAGAACTGACCGACTAGCGGAAGAGTCTGTACGTCTAGTTATGCGGTATTGTTTGAGGGTTTTGAGTAGTACTAGATTTGTTGAAAAAGCAAGTGGAGTTTCCACCACAAAATTCGCCATCCAATATTATCACAACCATAAATTCTAAAGTAAGTTAACAATTCGCGAAAGTAATTTTCACTGAATTACGGTGCGGTGCGATTTAACTGCCCAATGTAAAAGTATGTGAGCACGAACAAAGATGGTCATTGTGAGCTTTTATTTAATTGCGATACGGTGTTGTCTTATGCATGGAAAAAGTCCATGAGTTTGAATGTGAGTTGGGTTGCTGCATTGAATAAAAGATTAGTATTTATATACATACCATGAGGAGGAAAAGACGTAGCAGGAATATGAGAAGGTCAGGCTTGCCAAGCTGAAATTGACATCCTATTTATTAAAATCCCTGAGAACGAAATGACTAGTGGGAGACAAAACTTTTGTTATGATGAGCAGTTATTTAAACAAAAGAATTAGTATCAAAGTATCAAAGAGCCATATCGACGTGTGCGCATTTCGGTGTAATGACGTCGTACATTGTCTTGCGAAGTGTCACTCCGTTGATCAAAACTGAACCTATCACTATCGTTTGCTTGGTGTGTGAAAGAAGTTGCAGGCAGGAACGAAAACGGTCCATGGGACGCTTGTCGATAGAAAACACCCTTATCATGCTATTATGCCTGGTTATGTTTTCAACTTTGACAACTCTAATACGTATGCAATCTATACGGTATTGGCATTGGAGTTTCTGCTTCCTCAGTAATGAGAACAGTTGGACTCTCTACATTGCTTTAAATTTATGTACTATATATTAATAGTTATCGTAATAGAAATTATCTTACGGATGATCAACTCCGAAGTGACTTCTATATATGAAACACACTCGTGATCGCTTCCATACTCAGGATATCACGTGGGTAAAAGAACAAGTTGCAGTCAGCAAAGCCGGCAAAGGGGTTTTGCATACCTCAGGGATAATAACGTAATGCTGTAATGGCGCAAATTAAATTTGACAATACTAAAACGCAAAACCATATTTAATAAAATATTTATAACAATGTACGTTGATATAAAAAAGACAGAAAATGAAAAGCAATGAACTAACTTTACGCTATTGGAAAATATGAATATATAATTTCCACAAAAAACTTGTTTACTTGCGCAAGCATCTTTCTCACATTCGAGTTAAACCCAACATTTCACCAATGCCAGTAACAGCTGGCACCCTGCCTAACACTAATTGAATTCGCACTTCTTTTATAACCATATATTGGGTGCTTGTGGGTTCGTTCATTACTGTAGAGTTGTTGAATGAAAACGATGCTTGCGTGCGCATTGGTGTAAAAGTATATGCAATAGATTGACTGCTGATCGTACCGAACTGTCCATCGGACGAGCCACAGAGTGGACAAAAATTGTTTATGTCTTGTTCGTGACTTGAGGTATTCAACTGCGATTGGTAATAAGAGGGATCTTGATACAGATTTTCGGTACTGTCGTAGTTGATAGTGTTTATATGGACATCATTATGGAGAAGAAAAGATGTAGCTGGGCGAAAATGAGTATAACGTTGGGTATGCAAAGTGATGGGCAAGTGAATTTGATTATTGGTGTTATCACCCTCTAGTTGATGGATGTTGTTATAATGATCAGTATAATCGCTGTTCGTGTCGTTGGGCTCGCTCATTGTAGCAATGTCGAAGTCCTCCGGTTGATAGACATTGTCATAAAGTCCGATATAGTTGTTTATATTATTAGATTCGTTCATTGTATTAATTACAGTGTCGGGTCCTTTTTCGCTTTTAATTTACGCAGTTGGATGCTTATATAGAGATTCGCAAGCGCTTGATAAGGTTAGTGTGCATTACCAAAGTAAGAACTATTCGTAAGCGCTTGATACGGTTAGTGTGGATTACTAAAGTTAGAACTATAGTTACCCATAATAAGAACAACAGCATTTACACATGACTTCAGAATAACAACAATGACTTCACTCATAACCTTACGATATATATTCAATTCTGACCACTCCTATGGTTATTATATCTCTCCCCTTTGTTGCTGATATTCCTCTGTATATTGGTGCCATAACAAAGCATTGTGCGGCTTGCATAAGCATTTAAAGAAAACGAAAACAGATTCTACGTTTCAACGCGGAAGGCTGAAGTAATTTCTCGCCAGGTGTTGTTTCCGTTTGTTTGCTTATCCATAAAATATACAGTGTGATTGTATAAACAGAAATAACATTCCAATTTAAGAATTACATACCATCGTGCAATCGTATGCTTACCCACAAGGTATTTCCGAACGAACGTACTCGCATGAAAAGCGTTGGCCTTGCTGTATGTCATGTACTTGTCGAAAATAGGTTTGCTATGCCGTATCATACGCCTTGCCCTTTGAGCCCCTCACTTCTGGATCACTTATTTAAGAGCAAAGACAAAGAAAATGTCAGTTAGGTTTAATTGCTCCCGAAATATTCTAATCTCATTGTGACAGAATGCATCTTTTCTATTGCGTCAGCAGTGAAATGTGCAACAGTCAACAGACAATACTAGTAACAATCCTGAGCATATTTGGTAAGGTTTCACAGCTTTGTTGTATTGCGCCACCGCAACCCTTAAACTTTCAAAGGTACTATATCAGGTTACGATCATCCAATAATGATAATTGCCTCAATTTTATAGTATAAATAAATGAATAGATCGATAACATGGAACGTCAACTGACTCAGATGACCAAGCTTCGAATCCTGTTACATATGAGATTGATACCTGATTCTACACACTCAACAAACATGTTGGAATTGTCGCCCAAATTAATTCTCTCGGAGGCAAAGCCAGTCAGTAATAAAACCTTACGTTCTTCAAAATACGAATAAAAATTTGTTTGACTAATTTAACTCTCGATGATCAAAAATAATAATTAAACTTTTCTACACAAGTTTTCATATCCTTTTTTTCTTTACTACTAAATATATCTATTTGCATTTGTTTAAAACAAATTGTGATATGCTATTAAACTAATGGCGAGTCATGTGATTAGGCGAAACTTATTATTCTAAACTTAGATCAAACGCAAAGCAACCCCGGTATTTTGTTAGTTCGTAGAGTTGGTTAAATACCAATCCAATCGGTTTAAATAGATAATATACAGTTTACATTAGATAAAATTCAGTACACAACAGTTTAGATTGGATAATAATAATATACAGTGCATCTCCCAAGTACATATCCCACACAAAGCGATTTTGACCCCAAATCACAACTACCCATTTTCGTAAAGCCGTCTCATACATCTTATTCTTTATTACATAAATGCTCTATAGCATTAAAGGAGATATTATTCTGTCATAACTAGGAAAAAAACAAAAGATTGGTAACAAAATGCATAAAGACATCGTCGCTCTCGGTTGCCCTTACTTTTAAAGTATGATACCTGCAATTAGACTCAAAAAATTGGATTACTCATAACTAGCATACTTGTATAAACTTCTATAAGTAAAACTTATTCCTATTTCTTAATGTTAAGAAGAATGCGCATTTTCATATACAAAAACAAATACATAAAATTTTTTTTCTCACATACGAACTACGGCTAACATTTTATCAATATCAGTAGCAGATACCCTACCTAATACTGATCGAGTTTGCTCTAATTTTGTAACAAGAAATCCGTGGCTTGCGGGCTCATGCGTAAGAATATATGAAATAGATGAGCGTTGAGAATAACCAGTTGCCGGACCGTAGTTTATCATATCGGAAAGATTATAGTGTGTGTGAAAAGATATTGGAATCGGACAAATATCTTCTGTGCGGGTCTCGACTGGATTGTGATGCACTGGATTTAAATGCCCATTTGTCATGTTAAGGTTACCCGGCTGGATATAAGAAAGCGAGGGATTTCGATATCTAGTGTTTTCATCGTTCGTAGTATTCATAGAGGCAGAAGGTAAGAAATCTTGAACATAAGGTTGACTTTCTTGGTGATCTACAAAACGGAATTTTTGCGTTAGGTTTCTAACTGCAAATAATATGTGTTAAATATATTCCATATGCAGCATTTGTACAAAAATATATGGACATACCAAAATTACGATGCAAATGTCCATTAATATTACTGGGCTGCATATAGGTATTTTGATATCCAGTACTTTCATAATCCGTAGAAGGTATGAAATCTTGAGCATAATGTCGACTTTGCGCACTAACTTGTCGATCTATCAATGAAAATTTTTGCATAAGCGTTTTGGTGCTGGCTGTAAACAATATTCATTATGCGTTTGTAAAAAATTGCGCAAAAATATATGATCATACCAATATTACCATTCATCAAGTTAGGCTGGGTATAAGCAAGCGAGGGCGAGGAATTCCGATAATCATTACTTTCACAGTCCGTAGTATTCATTGAGATAGAGTGAGAACGGAAATCTTGAGCATAAGGTTGGGCGTGTAGATTAATGGGCATTTGGCCTGGAGAATCAGCATTCGTAGACGTCATATTATCACGGGGAAGAAAATGGGTAACATGATCACGGGCATAAGGTTGGGCTTGCGTGTTAATAGCCATTTGATTAGAATTGAAACCCTCTAATTGACCGACGGCGTTATAAAGTCCAATATAATCGTTGTTCATTATATCAACGTTATTACGAGGAGAACGCAGAGCAAAAAGCTGATGTTGGAGTATATATATATTATAGGCCTTACTGACAAATTGACGCCTCAAGGATGATTGTAATTGGTGATGTTATATTTTTTTTATAATTTATTATCAGAACTTTATCATTATTAGAGGTTGTGTTACTGATTACGTTATGAGGTATACTTCTATATGTTGCATGTTGCACAGTTGGCGGCACATGGCTTGCCTAAAATGTCCAAGAATATGTCGTACTGCAATCTTGAGACGATAACATTGATAATGGCCTCGTATCTGCTTCACGAGGAGACCAATTACAACTGTTCTGACTATGTCGTGTTGCAATGATGCACAGTCCATAGCCTCCGATTTCTTCCAAAGCTCAATCAACGCCAGCATCCATGACTGCTATTCACAAAATTACAATCAACTTTCAAGTGAGCCGTAGAACTACTTGCGCATTCGTTCTGCTCGCGTATACTGTGTTAATTTCTCACTATCCCCATAGTTGGAACGGATGTTCTGTTGACATTTGTATACGTATACGAGCATATTCATTTATCGTATCAAATATTCGGCCTTCACGATATTGGCTTTGTTATCGACTTAACCACTTGTTTGCTTTCAGCCAAGTCAGAGTAACCCTGTGACACTCTTATGAGACATCAAAACTTTCTAATAATAATGTCAGTTCATATCGACTTCGGGAACAATTTTGCGAGTTTCTATTGTTAAATGAAATAGTAAAACAGTGTAGATTATTGATCAATGTAATGAGAGACTGCGTAGTCTTATTATCTATTTAAAGGCAGTTATTGATATTGCTTTCATTCTGAAGAAGGGAGGACAGATTACTCCTCATTTTTCTCCGTGCCTCTTTCCAAATATTTTTACTGATCTCAAATAAAAATCAGACAGCAAAAAAGAGGTATAAAAAACTAAGCGATAAAAATGCTACATATCTTTGTAAACCATCAACACTACCCATTGCCGACCGTTGACCCCAATCAAGCAAGTCGGAAGTAAAGACTACGTCGTCTTGTTAAGCATCCACCGAAGTTTATGTTCAGGTATTCTACAAGAAGCAAAAAGTAATTTAAATTACTAATATAATACTATTTGTTATTAGTGTTTTCATTGGTCCACGTGATATAATGCAACAATTAGTTTGTTACTATTACGACATCTCAGTTGCTAAGTAAATAACGTACTGAATAACACCAGTTATTGACCGACCGGGGTGTCTTATGCAATACATTAGTAAAACCCGTTTAATAGTACGACGAAACTACGGTATGCTGTACGTTATTTTTGGTCCGTCATTACGAAAGCGCAGAATCGTTATCAAGAATACAATTCGAAAAGTGTCAGTTGTATTTGATAATGTTACAACAGCTCCACAGTTCGCTATATTTTCATGCATGCGCTGGGAAGAAGGAAAGGGTATTGCTTGCTTTGTTTATCACATTTTACTAATGTCCCATACTACCGTATAGTTCCGAAAATAGGGGTAGGCTAAAGCGGAGTAGTTTATGCCACACAGCAGGTGCCACAAATTGACCAAGTGCCACAATCAGTATTGGA